GCTCTAGGAACAGAGGACAAATGCTCAAACTGCTCTCTGGTGCAGTCAGTTGTGAGGTTATTAAAGATTCTCTGAACTGAAGCATTTGACAAAATAACTAAATTACTGAGGCGATGTTTACTTTATTTGAATACTTGACACTCTGCCCTAGACATTATTTGTTTGTATTGTACTATCGTTCAAAACTGCTCCTCTGAGGACTATTTTAAAAAATCTAGTCTAATATTACAACTGATTGTTGGACATTACTCTCCCAGAGTTGCTGTCCCACACGTTTTAAACCGGGGAAAATTTATGACCAACTTTTTCAACAGATTGGACATAAATTTTATGATGGGCCATACTCTGTTACACAGTCTGAAAATCACAGCAGATGGGCTACGAAAAACCGCCTTAGATGCAGAAAAGTAAATGCTGTAATGTCAATATGCTCTGGCCAAGTTTGACAGAATAAACCATTGTCTGCGATGGAGCCAGCGTGCAAAGTGAACTATTGCATTCAAACAACCTGTTCAGAGGCCATAAAGTGAGAATCTATTTGGGGACAGAGCAAAGGGACAAAGGATACACACTGATATATCCATACACTGTATTTTACCTGAACAATATTTAATATTAAGGGTCTTGAGGATTTAAAGATAAAACTTAAAGTTAGTATTGGCTCAGTTTGGTCTACAATATGCTTTCAACAAAACTATACTGAAAACCAACACATGTGGTGTTTGCTTATTTTTTAGTAATAAACTAAATATAAATAATTATATTTTTTAATTATAAAAAATATAAAATAAAATAAAATATTCAATATTTGTATTTGTATTTAAAAATCCTACATGTGATGTTTATTTATTACTATTATTAATAAATATAAATATAAATGTAGTCCCATTTGAAGATAATTAGTTATTTACATTTGTATTGTACGGTTATTTACAAATGTTAGTTTTCTCTTTCTCTGTGTGTGTGTGTATTTTTTTTATAAATTATATAAAATTAAAAATACATGTAAATATAATAATGTACATATACATATAAAAATATAATAATGTAAACATTATTTTTTATTTTAAAAATACCATATGAAGATATTTAATTATTTACATTTTTATTGTACAATTATTAGCAAATGTTAATTATATATCTAGCATTTAATAAAAAATTAACTTTAAATAAATGTATATTTAAAATGTTACATTATTTAAAATTATTTTAAAATACATGAACATGCAAATAAATGAATGATTATCCACTGCTATAAGTATTAAGCCAAAGCATAAAAACAAATGTTGCATGAGAAACATTGTAAGATCAGTCCTGTGCTTATTCAGTGAGCTAATACAGTATTATGTTAGGGTGTAATGAAGATTGATGGTAGTGTTCCAGGTGTAATGGAGGCACAGAGGAGCCTAGCAACTAATTATGCTTTAATTACAATAACTGTAAGCATCGTGCCATCAGCACAATATGTGCCTCTTGCAAGCATTTTTGTATTTTCATTTTGTCATCATCTTTACAGTAAAATCATACTGATTGAAAGACAATATCTAGTTTCTCATACTAATTTGTTCCCCTCCAGTTTTGCCTCATATCTCACTTAAACTGTGTGCCCCAGCACAGGAAGCAGCAGGCTGAGAGTTGATATCCTGATGCAGCTAAATGCCCGGCAGAGATGGCCGTGGGTTCTTCTGGAGATGTTTCTGTCCCTCTTGCCTGTAAAGGGCAGCTTGGCGTGAGTCTGCAGTGCTTGGGCTGATTACGGAGCCGCGTATGCCATGTGTCAGTGGGTCAGAGATTGGACCGGTGCTTTGCCACTCGGGCTCTCCCAGCATGCATCCCACAAGGGGTACGGACATCAAAAGGCCCCGTGTTGCACTCATGCTGGAGAGACGAGGAGGCTGTGCCTTTACCATCTGAACGGGGACACACATTACAGCCCAAAGATAGATGCAGCGACATGAAATCTGCTCCTGTTGATGGCAAAGGATGAGACAAATAGAGAGCTGGAAAACTGATTTGCATTTGCTTAGTAGGTCGTTTAGGTTTTCTCACCCTAGACAAGAGAAGTAACACGTTTAATTGAGATAACAAATGAGGTTGTGTTTGTCAGTGGGGTGTTAAGCATAGAATCCGGTCATTAAATCATTCCTGACAGTGTGAAAATACACACAGAAACAGCATTTTCTTCATAGGACGATACGTCTTCAATGCATAATGCTTGCTGCCAAAGATCTGAAGCATTCTAGGATGAGCCCACGAATGAATTTTGTTATTAAAGCTATTTCGGTATTGGAGAAATTAAGTAAAAAAACATGTGCCAGACTATAGGAGCCCAGCAGCTCTCATTATCACATCAGGCTTTTCCTCTAGTTGTGGCCTTTCATGTCTAAACTTACACAACTCAGTCTCATTTTCTTGCTCTGCTGGATTCTGTTAGCCACTATGTGATCGCGTCTATTTTAGTTGATCAATGTAGAGAAACCAGGAAACAAAATTAGACAATTCATCCTGATTCATCATGTTTATGCCGTGCAAATACACAGCATTTGGGCAACTATGTAAACCACTGAAAATCTTTGGGGTTAATAATATATATTTTTAAAGAAATTAAAACTTTTATTCAATATGGATGCATTAAATTGATCAAAAGTGACAGTGAAGACATTTATAATTTTACAAAAATTTCCATTTCAAATAAATGCTTTCTATTCATCAAATAATCCTGAATTTTTAAACAATAATTAAAAATGTTTCTTGAGTACCAAATCAGCATGTTTATTTCTGAAGGATCATGTGACAAGACTTAAAGATGCTGAGAATTCAGCTTTGTCATCACAGGTATAAATGGTATTTTTAAATATATTAAAACAGAAAACAATTCTTTTGAATTGTAATAGCATTTCGCAATATTACTGTTTTTACTGTATTTTTATTAAACAAATGCAGCCTTGGTGAGCATAAGAGGCTTCTTTCAAAAACACAGAAAAAGTTATGTATTCAGAGAGCTTTACAGTCAAAAGTTTGGACACGCTTGGACTGGACTTCTATTTTATGATCTTAAAATTTTTATTTCAAGGATTTATAATTGAATGCTTAGTAGATGAATTGCTTTAGAAGACAAATTCAGCCCATATATTAATTTTTTTAGAAAACTAAAAAAATAAAAATAAAATAATTAAAATGGAGTTGGACAGGATCGTGATGAAGCAACAGCCAACAAGTGTCTAGCTTACCAGGCCAAATGCTTAAAAAGCATCCCAAGATGCACCTTAGGGAAATGGATGATAGAAGCCCATAGCTGTAATCTAGACAAAGGGTGGCTGCTTTGAATAAACTAAAATAGTTTTGATTTACTGAACATTTTAAAGTCACAGCATAATTCCCATTCTTCCATTAGTTTAATTTCTCTGCTCTGGTTCACGTAATTGGGCATATGTGTAGTATGATAATGATAGTATAAACAATTTAATGATAAAGTAGACTGACCTTGCCTCACTTTTGCATTTGAATGAGATATAAAAGACTGTCAGCAGGCAGATTCTTCATAAGCCAATTTAATTCACCAGCACCCAATAGTACAAGCCACGAGTAAAGCAAGAACCAAGTCTATGAAATCATGACACTTCAGCACAGTAATTACAATAATTGAATCATGAGTGTTGGGGGTGAGACCTCATAGTATATGACATGTTTATACACATGAGCAGGATAAATATTGCTAATGATGAAAGAATGTGTGTAACACTCGCCTTTATATTTATATTAAAAGTAAGAGTTTGATTTTTCTTTAGCAACAAGATGTATTTTCTTAAATGACAAATGAAAGAATTATGCAAAGAAACATTTTTTTTCCCCAAAACCAAAGTCATGTTTAGTGACCTAGCAGCGACATGTGCTGTTGAGTCATGTTTTCATTCTTAATCATATTAAAGAAAAAGAAAGGTCAGATACAGGCAAGAGACAACTTTTAGCCTTTGGGCGATGTTTACTTACAAGCCAACTCAAATGACAGGAAGTGGCATTTTTTTTTTCATTTTAAAAAATTTACGGTCTGAACATGTGGTCAAACATCAAATAAAATTGCACAATATTACCTAACATAATGACTGGTTACCCCCTGAAATAACTCACACTATGATATAACATAATGTGACATGGTCTTGACGAGTGAAAATATAGCGTCTTTTTAAGCTCTACTCTTGGAAGGAATATTTCACTGTTTAACACTTAACACCCACGATCATTCTCGTACCTCATCACATTTGCATTTCACCTCCAAATAATGCTGTCTTCACAGTTTTTAATTGTGCCCATGGTAATAAATTACCTAATTTCCATCCCGTTTCCCAGCCATGCTTTGAAAAAATATAAAGCTATAAATGTTAAATCTTTAAAGTTCAGTGTTGTGTAAGACAGCATCTTGAAACACACTGCCCTGCCCTAAATGGAGAGACAACAAATCTGCATGGTGTCTATATCTTTTCCGTTTTTGCACATATTGAACTCTGTAGGCGGATGTTACTTTCATCCTTCCTAAAACTGCCCCCGTTGAGAGACTTAATCAGATGTATTTGAATATTATATATGTTTACACTCTTGTTACACAATTACTCTCAAATACAACTTTTAAGATAATAAAATCCCCATGTGAATCTGTAGATATAGTCTAACTACTGAAGGTCTATGCTGTACTCAACTGTAGGTGACATATGTATCCAAAACAAATGTTACTGATAAATGTTGCACTGCCTGTTTTGATGTAAGCATTTAATAATCATTCATATGTGTGCTCAACAAGATTTTTGATGGACAGCTGTTGTTCAGCACCATGGACAGCGCTGAGTTCTTCTCTTCTTTCACTCTATTTTGGGACAGTTCACCCAAAAATGAAATGGTTGCTGGTAGCCTTTGACTTACATAGTATTTGCAACTGTTTGGTTGCCAACATTCTTCAAAATATCTTCTTTTGTGTTTAACAGAAGAAAGAAATTCATACAGGTTTGGAACAACACAAGGGTGAGTAAATGATGAAATGTTCCTTTCCCCATGCCTTTAAGACTTTATATACCCTTCTTGCAAGCGAGTCCTAAAAGAGTTCTTAAATACATTCCTTGTGTTTATGACATAAGTATATTTACATTCAAGTAATATAAAAATGCAAGATATCATTGCTTGCCAATGCATTAAGCCAAACAACAACGATTAAAGAGAAATGACTGTTTTTTGTACTTACTACGCTCATACTGAACATCAAATTTATAAGGGCTATACAAATCAATAAAATGACAAGCACATAACAAAACACATTTCGTGCAAAATATGCTCCTGAATGCAAAAATATAATTGACAATAACAAACCACTCTTTCCCAAAGCAATATGCAGGCATCAATTAGTCCAAATATTGTCACTGTCCTACTTTCTTTTGAATCTCACAAATACTTAAATGCATACATACACATACGCACATACATACATAATTTCTTCAGATCCTAACAATAAATAAAATAAACTAACGTATTCCATGTTCTCTCTGCTACTTTTATTTTTGAAAGCAGATATAGAAATGTCCCTTGGTCTTCAGTCTGGGCCATTTAAAATTGGCTATATTCAATTAGAGAGGGAAAACAAGAAAGCCAGAGAACGTGGAGTACTTCCACCCGCCCATGAGGTTCCCTCTCTCCAGTTTGAGATAGAGTCTGTCTTCACGCTCCAGGTGAAGCAGAACGCCGTTGCTTGCTGCCTCTCGGGTCACATCTTGATCACCGGCAAATGCAGATATTATTGGGTATTCATTATGCATCAGATTGACCTAATGACATGGAAGCACAAGATGTGATCACACGCATAACAAGCCAGATCTAAACTAAACTGCACTAAATGGTATCTGTTTTTAACATATATATTTTTAATAACTATTAAGTAATAGTGACGAGTATCATTTCCATTTCACTTTTAACTGCTAACACTTGTTAGATAGTCCTTATTCCGATATGGTGACTAGCATCAATTCAATTAGTAACTAGTATTATACATACTAGAAAATAATAATGTGGTACTAGTCACTGTTCTAATAGTGAAAACTAACTATTCTGTTTTACTGGTAAGAAGGTAATCATTTTTCCAATTTAATTATATGGGGATCTGTGGTTTACGTATTCATATTCTCTTGTGACTAGCTAATGAATTCCAATTGTTATTGATCTATTTCAGCTTTGAAAGTGGCTATTTAATGTATACAGTATATATATATATATATATATATATATATATACATATGCACACACACACAAATATCTATCCTAAATGGTATGGGTAACATATCTCATCTCGATTTCTTTTTTATTTGTCATATGAAATGATTAGCCAGAATGATACTTTACAGTTTAATTAAAATCTTACTGATAAGATTACAGTTGGAATACAAAGAAATGTCTAATAACCTAAATAAATATTAATATATATTCAGTTAGTACTAAGAAACCTGTAAAATATTGTAACTATTAAGTTAAAGAAGGAGTGGTACTGTCAAATGAATTGTTAGCCTATTAGTAAAACTAAAGGTAGCAGCAGAAATTTCAATACTTAGGCTAGACAGACATGAGTAGTTAATACACGCACTTATCGATATTTCATTGTGTTATAATTCAGTGGCAAACCATTCAATTTAAGTTTCAGTTGTTTATAATTTGTTTCGTCTAAAACTCCTGAATGTTAACAAATAGACTCACCTGAATTGTCTGTCGGTTGTAGACCTTCACAACGTGAAAGCTGAAGCTGTAAATGCCTCGCCGAGGAGCTTGAAATACACTCGCCTTAAGGTCGAAATGATTTCCAATGTTCACTAGTACCTGCAAAAAGGTGTTTGTTCACTTGGTTAACGTATGTTTTGGAAACGTTCTCTTGGGGGAAACATGTTAAAGCCTACTTAACACACAAATATGCGTTGCCTAAATGTGAAAGCAAGGTCTGACCTGATCAAAGTAGATTGTCATGGACTTGTTACTCATTTCTGATGGTTCATGGTTAGTTCCTCTGACTGCAGAAAAAGCCACTTTAGCACCAGCAGCTCGGACAGATATCCCAAACGACGAGGTCACTCCTCCTTCGGCGGACGGGTTCGAGTCACACACAACTAAACATTTTCCTTCCAAAACTACCGGTTCTGTGTCATTCTGTCCGAGGGAAAACGCAACGCTGAATCCCAGAAGAAGGGTGGAGGCCAGTACGGCCAAAGATCCCGGTTCCCTGGCTCTCAACATGACTGTGGAAGACCTCTGCTCTGAGCAAAAAATACTAACGAGCACTCTTAGGAGATAAGTGAAGACTAAAGCACCTCTCCCTCTCTCTCTCTCTCTCTCTCTCCCTCTCTTTCTCTCACATGCACACTCTCTCATCCACATACACCGCGCGCACGCCTTATTTGAAAACGCCCTGAATTTTTACCATGTGCTTAAGTTTCCATTGCGCAACAGTCTACGATCAAGTTCAAAGGCTAAATTTATGCACCACAGCTAAACAATAAATAATAAATAAAAAGACTATTAATTAGAATAAATGTATCACTAATCAATGCTTTGACAACCATAATACTAACTAAATCTAAACTGTAGACAGATAAACTGTCACTTGAAGGGTTCATGTGTTGAATGGATATTCGAACAAACCACAATGAACAATTAAAAGCACTACTGTATTCAGTATACTGTAAAGGTCTTATTATACTCTTATAAACTTCTGCTCAGTATTTATTAATGGAAAATTAATTTTAATGTAAATTAATGTTTTGTAAAGAGGTCAATGGCTGTCTGGTGACATCCCATTGTTTGGTGTTGAGGTGTTTCAAAAACTAATATGATGGGCTATTGCACCATCCAGTGGTTGTGAAAAGATATTAAAGCATAACTTTATATGAAAAGACTTTAAACTAGCGAAGTATTTAGCACTTTAAGTAAAAATTTTAATTTGAATTCACACATGCAAAAATTGTGTTAATTAAACGCAATATGCACAAAACGTAAGCGAATGACAAAATCATAACATACTGTAAATATGTCCAAAAGACTGGGAAGTTGATATATAACAAGTCGTTTTGCTTTTTCTTTCAGCAACATCAAGATTTTAGATTAAAAGTTATGAATGTATAATAGAATGTGCACAGCTGGCACAAAATGTCAACAAATTTCATGCCTATATGTTTCAGAATTCAAATTTGTTCACACATAACCTTGTAAAACTAAAATATGTTTGAGCTGTAAGTGTAAAACTTTGTATGTGACAGATTCTGTGAGTCACTTCTTACAGTAACAACTTTAAGTCTGTTGTGGTAATATGCACCAGCTTTTGCATGCTGTTCAAATGTGATTACAGCCCATTCTTTAATACAAATTTGCTGCAGATTTATTTTTAGATGAATGAAATGACACTTGACAACCACAAATTTATAGTACCATACCTTTTCAATTAATAATTTTGTTCTTTTGACACAGTGTGCTAATTGGATCACTGTTTTGCTGAAAGATGAGAGATTTAGCCAACTGAAGCCGGTTCACTTGCAGTATTTCCCTGTGTTATGCAGCATCCATTCTTTCTTCTGTTTTAACAAGATGCTGATGAAAAGCAGCCCCACAGAGAATGCCAGTTTAGCAGAAGGCATTTGGGACCATATTAGTGTCTTATTTTTCATTTTTCCTCCACATTTCTGTGCTTAGTTTAAACACAGTCTTGTTGTTAGGTGCATCTAATATGCAGCAATACAGTGGAAAGTGAAACACAAAAGAAAAGGGGATATTTTTGCAGGTTACCCTTTGTCCAGATGCCACAGGACAGAATGTCTCTTCATGTCTGTCTCTTTTCTCTTTTTTTGAATTATCTTTGCTTTGACTGTCTGAACAAGGTGGGTGAGAATGCACAAGCGGCAAGCCCACTGATCATGTTAATTTCAAACTTTTATAGGCCTACTTTTATTGATATTGTTATCAGACGATACATCTACTGCCAAAACACTAGTAGTAAATAATAAGTGATTTTGGAGTTGAAAATTGTGATGATGCACACATTAGCCTAAAATTATTTTGAAGTTACTTGGAGTTTTGCAGGGTATCACAATGTAGACCTACAACAGGGCTGCACCAGTGTAAAAGGCCCTTTAGAATTGTTTATCCCAAAACCAGACATGCTGTCCTTTATGTAATGTGAATTGTTCTGATCCACGAGTTATCATCTGTAATGGCAAAGATGGAATTTTAAGTCATTTGTTCTAACATTTAATATTTATTAATATTTAATAAAAATGTTTTAAAATATTGTAGATATATGTAGCTTAATCCCTGAAATTATCACTTGTTTATGATTTTGGGGGGAAATTAGATGGCAGAAAAACAGTACTTTGTTAAATTAAAAGCCTTAAATGTTATTCAAAAATATCTTGCTATATCATGCAGCTAGGCTATTAGGCCTACATAAAATTATATTATCAGAAATTTCGCAATAAAGAAGACCTTATTAAGGTAAAAGCCACTTTATTGCGAATGAAAACGAGGCTGTGTGCTCAGTCAGTAGGCTACTGTTCCCAAGGTCACAAGAAAAAACTCTGGAAAAACATATTTCCAACTGACTGCCTATCCGTTAGAGCCTTGTTTTAATTCTCAAAAAATGGCGTCTATTAAGTGTAATCAATGCACTCATATTCTTTGACAAGTAGCCTGCTAGTAAATATAAAAATAAATATATATATTTTTTTTTAAATCGTTATACTTGGAATTTAGCACACAACTCACATTTTGTACAATGTTTTCATTTAGTCCCATAGCTATTTTCAAGTAGGCTAGTTTAATCATACTCAGTTAGCAAACCATGGGTTAACATCACCTAGACAAACTTCATCTGAGGCAGGGTATCGCATATAGAATTTTAAGGCCAAGTATGAATGAAGGGATCGTGTTAATCCACTCTTCGCGTCCGCAGGTCTTCTGGGCACGGATGTGGCGGATTACGCAGATGTGTTCAACCTGTTCCATCAAACAAGTCTTCAACTACTCCCTGAGTTCTGGGAATAGCGGCAACAATTTGTGCTATGAATCTCATACAATTTGGATCGCGTTCTTTAAGCAGCTTCTTCTAAAGACGGACTGCTTTATATCGTAGTTATATTTTATCTAAATTTCATCCTTCGCTTCGCCACTTCCATTAGCATTTCATGGAATTCAAAGTTGAAACCCTAGGGGAGAATTATGGTGCCGCGGGTGAAACTGCTTGTTGGTGAGTAAATATAATATTGCGCGAGTTTATGGAAACGAACATAAATATAATGTTTCATTTTATTGTCATCGACCGAGTAACCTCTTCAGAACTATACATGCATGGTTTCCTTTAAGTTTAAGCCATATTCCTATTTAATGTGTTATTCTGTTAGCATGTTCATACGAAAACAAGTATATAACTATAATGTGGCATAGAACATGTAAACATGCACTTGTAATAGTGGTGATAAAGTTGCAAAAAGCACAGACAGAGACAGACAGACGGACGGACGGACGGACGGATGGATAGATAGATATATAGATAGATTATAAACACAATGTACAGAGTATACTGTACATTGGAGTTATCTTTTAACATGACCCTGGACCACAAAACCAGTCATAAGGGTCAATTTTATGAAATAGAGATTTATACATCATCTGAAATCTAAAAAAAAAAAAGCTTTCCACTGATGGTTTGGTTTATTAGGATAGGACAACATTTGGCTGACATACGACTATTTAAAAAATATTGAGAAAATCGCCTTTTAAAGTTGTCCAAATTAAGACCTTAGCAATGCATATTACTGATCAAAAATTAAGATCGGATATATTTACGGTAGGACATTTTACAAAATATGTTCATGGAACATGATCTTTACTTAATATCCTAATCATTTTTGGCATAAAATAATTTTTTTTATTTTTGACCCAATGTATTGTTGGCTATTGCTACAAATATACCCCAGCGACTTAAGACTTTGTGGTCCAGGGTCACATTTAGGAACTGTATAAACACTATTCTTGTCTCAGATCATTATTCATTTTTGCAGTTGTTGCAAGTCTTGTCAATCTTGTATTTTCTGGAGCACCAACAGCACCACCAAAGAGAGCTATAGGTAATTATCTCTCATTAACGATGACCTCTTAAGTAAGCAAGAAGGGCATTGTGATCGCATGCAAAAGTAGTACTGATTTGATTGTAGATTGTTTTTTATATATATCTTTTAAAAAAGAAATGCTTTGTCACTTCAGTTAAAAACAACTCAGGTGTGACGCCGGCAGGGTTGTGTGGTGCTTGGGTCAAAGAACCTGATGGAGGGCTTTTCACATCTCCTAACTATCCTGAAAAATATCCTCCTGACCGAGAATGCATATACATAATTGAAGGTTAGCGAGCTACCATTTTGACCATTTTTAGTGAGTAACATCTGCATATCTAACTAGAGGTTTTAATTATGTCATAGCTTCTCCAAGACAATGCATTGACCTGTATTTTGATGAAAAGTATGCTATTGAGCCATCGTGGGAGTGTAAGTTTGACCACATTGAAGTCAGGGATGGCCCCCTCAGCTTTTCTCCTATTATTGGCCGCTACTGTGGACAAGAGAGCCCGGCCTATGTTAAGTCCAGCGGACGATACCTTTGGATAAAATTTGTGGTAGATGGTGAACTAGAAGCCATTGGATTTTCAGCTCGGTACAATTTCACCCAAGGTAAGAGTTGTGTTTTTGTCATCAGTATATGCATTTTTCTCTATGCACCAAGTATTTATCAGTTTCTTTATGCAAGTTTATGCAAAACCTGATGATCATGTCCAGCATGATTTGAGGGTCTTGTGCTTCAATAGAAGAGCATCTGATTGTTCAAATGATCAGTGTCACAAATTGTATGTAATAAGTGACCTGGATGCAGAATCTAAAATGTGTCTTTTTATTCACCTTACATCTCGAAGTTTCTTGGCTTTAAAATGTTTAACATGTTACAGGTTTAAATAGCAATTTAAATAGCAGATTTTGTGGTCTCAAACTTTTAAACTCCACTGTATTTATTTGGAAACAAAATGTATAGTTATAATATTGGTTTAGTACAGTTGGTTTATTCTTAGCGTGTTTTGGTAAATGCTGTGTTCTGTGCTCAGGTCAGATGGCCATGCATTTGTAGTGCAGGCACACATGCAGCAGCTGAGTGGGGGAGGTTTGTGATGTCTATGATCCCAGTTAATGAAAGCCAGTTAATGAGGAGCACACTCAGTCTGCTCCATGTCCTGAGCTCTGTCCTCCTACTTCAGCTTCGCCAAATCCTATTGCAAATCTATGGGATTGCCAAAATAATTAGCTTTATGCATTATTGGGTTGCAAAGGGTCATGAGTCTTTTGTCAAGATATTTTTGAATCCATATTTCACATCATTCAATGAATAGCCAAAGTGATGAAATGGAAGTGAAGTTTTTTTTGACTAATCGACTGTGGTTTAAGACAGATGCGATGAAAATAATCTTTTCTAAAATTTGCTGGTGTTCCTGATTACGTGATGTTACTTAAATTCTGATTACACCAGTGTTCATTACAGCTGCCTAATAAGTGAAAGTGACATGACATGTGACCAAGTATGGTGACCCATACTAGGAATTAGTGCTCTGCATTTAACCCATCCAAAGTGCACACACACAGCAGTGAACACACACACACACACACACACACACACACCATGAACACACACCCGGAGCAGTGGGCAGCCATTTATGCTGCGGCACCCGGGGAGCAGTTGGGGGTTCAGTGCCTTGCTCAAGGGCACCTCAGTCGTGGTATTGAAGGTGGGAGAGAGCGCTGTACATTCACTCCCCCCACCTACAATCCCTGCCGGTACGAGACTCGAACCCGCAACCTTTGGGTTACGAGTCCGACTCTCTAACCATTAGGCCACGACTTCCCCACACTAATAAATTCAGATTTTGGTAATGAAGCAGGGTCATAAGAGGAGAGGACCAGCAATCACATATCTGTCCTGTGAATTGACAACCCTGTAATGAAGGAAGCACGCAAAATACATACATCACCGATAGAATGTCTACACACTGTGGAAACAAAAACTAAAAATTTTCACATCTTAAAAAAATTACATTTGTAACCAAGAGATGTAATGAATGATTATATTACAAAAGAGATTTTTTTAGGCTGCACTAGGCATTCCAATCAAGGTTTTTTTCTGTTATGTATATAAAATACTGTAAAATATCATTCTGCACATCAGAGATTTATTAGAGACTTACATCCATGCATCCTGTTACATTAGCATAAAGAATAATCTTAGCCAAGCTGTACCAGAGGTAAGAAAACACGAGAGGATTACTGTGAATCCCTGAATGATTTTAGATTGAAACCCTAAAGACTCTGAAATATCCTGGTGAATTTTTTTGGAAATGATAAATTAGATCTAGATTGACATGATAAACTGGCCAGAACCTATTACCTGTTTAAGCCTGAAAAACTGTGCATAAATAAAAGAAATTCAAACAGGCTCCTGTAAACACACCTACATCTTATTACTTTGATTCCTGTCACACTGGACAGCCTAATCTGTGTGAGGCTGGTGCAGGGATTATTAATCCACGTACAATCATGACTCAAGCCTCAGGACACCATTCTCATTCACTAATCCTATGTGCTTCAGTTATTATGGTAAAAGAAAAGGTCAGGGAGAAGAGTCAACCATGTGATTTATTTGTCTGTGTTTGTCTTTGATGCCATCAGTCAAATACATTTCCATCTGTTTTTATTTCCTATGTTCTTAGGAAGAAATAATGCAGTCTATACAGTACTGTTCAGAGGTTTGGGGTCAGTAATACTTTTTAATGTTTTGAAAAAGTCTGTTTTTATTAATTACAAAAATATTAAAATATTTATATAACTTAAAATAACTGTTTTCTATTTCAATATATTTTAAAATGTAATGTAATGAATTTCGTAATGAATTTTAATTTAATTTCATTTGTAAAATGTAATGAATTTTCAGCATCATTACTCCAGTCTTCAGTGTCATACAATCCTTCAGAAATCATTCTAATATGCTGATTTGTTGTTCAAGAAACATTTCCAATTATTATCAAAGCTGAAAATAGTTGTGCTGCTGAATATTTTTGTGGAAACATGATCCATTTTTTCAAGATTCTTTGATGAATAGAAAGTTCAGAAGAACAGCATTTATTTTAAATACATTTTTAACATGATAAATGTCTTTAATGTCATGTTTGATCAGCTTAAATGTGTCCTTCCTTAATAAAAGTCTTACTGGCTCCAAACATTCGGACAGTAGTGTACTGTATATACACTGTTTTGTATGCTGGTGTCCTCACTGGCATGACTTACTTTTCTAAACCAACTTGTGCAGAAAGATAATTTTGGATAACCAGTGCTTTTTGATGGTAAACAGCATGGCATACCAGCCTTTAAATTCACACTGATCTGTCTTTTCAACAGCAAGAAGCCACCCCTTTTGATATTTAGGACAATATTTTATGTCGCTTATGTGAATATGAAATCATTAGTGTGTTTTGTAAACTAAACAGATTAAAGCCTTATAAAATCCTTAATCACTCACTCTCCTCTGCCTGTTTTGCAGATCCTGATTTCAAAGACCTTGGAGTTCAACCACCTCTTCCTAGTGAGTGAAGTGTTTTTTTTTAGATTTAATTGATCTCCTCTGCATAATAAAACCACTTCACAATGATACATTACTGTGCTTTCATGTTGTAGTTTGTGAATTTGAGATGAGCGGGCCAGAGGGGATTGTGGAGTCAGTAATGGTTACGAAAGAGGGCAAAGCGTTGCAGACAGAGGCTGTAGACTGCAGGTGGTTCATAAGAGCTCCTCCTGGCTCGAAGGTAAAACTCCATTCACAACTTTATTCAATTGAATTAAAGTCCAGCATGGTGGCTGATCTTGTTACTTTCCACTATGTAAGGACCTAAAAAATATGAATAAGTAAAAATGAAAAAAGATCTCCTAAGAACACTGATATAAATGTGTCTCTTCTTGTACAGATCTATTTGCGTTTCCTGGATTATGAGATGCAGAACTCAAACGAGTGCAAGCGTAACTTTGTGGCAGTGTATGATGGGAGCAGCTCGGTGGAACACCTAAAGAATAAATTCTGCAGCACGGTGGCCAATGACGTGATGCTGCTGACTTCATTAGGTGTGATTCGCATGTGGGCCGATGAGACCAGCCGCAGGAGCCGATTCCGTATCCTCTTCACCACCTTCCACGAGTGTGAGTCATTCCATCGTTTTTTTTATCTTAACACATTTCAGTAGCACATACTGTATAGATTTCTTTCTAGCGGTAAAGTCGTGATTTACCTCTTATTTTAACTGCATATTTGGACTAACACATTATTAGTGCTGTACTGAGTCACTTCAGCAGTTTTAGCTGCATGATATGGTAGTGTCTCATGTGGTTTCTTCTATAATTATTATCATTTTGCTCTGCTCTTCAGCTCCATGTGAAGGAGACTCTTTCTTCTGCCATAGCAACATGTGTATTAACCACACATTGGTGTGCAATGGTATCCAAAACTGTGTCTATCCTTGGGATGAGAATGGTTGCAAAGGTAACTAGTCACATGTTTAAAAATGAAATATTAAAAGAAAATAATGGCATTTATGCTGTCACCATTTACTCACCTCAAGTCATTACAAACCTGTTTGATTTTCTTTCTTATGTGGAACACTTTGAAGAAGTTTTTTTTAAAGTATCCGTGTTTTTGTCCATCCAGTTGACTCCAGTTGACTTTCATTGCATGGACACAGACACATACATTTTTCAAAATATCCTTTTTTGTGCGTTCCACAGAAGAAAAGAAAGTTGTACAGGTAAATGATAAGAGAATTATATCATTTTTGAGTAAACACTTCATGTGCATGTAAACTGCTGTTCACATTTTTTAAGAAATCTTTTTTATTCAGTCATTACTTTTGTACTTTTATATAATCGATTGTATCCTTATTTTTCAGCAAGGATACATTTGATCGAGTTAAAGATTTATAAAGACACAAAAGATTTCTATTTTGAACGTATCATGGATTCTACAAAAAACATTAAGCAGCACAACTGCTTTCAACATTGATATTAAAAAGAAATGTTTCTTGAGCACCAAATCAGCATATTAGAATGATTTCTGAAGGATCATGTGACCCTGAAGACTGGAGTAATCGCTGCTGAAAATTCAGCTTTACATCACAGAAATAAATTACATTTTAAAATATATTAAAATAGAAAACAGTTATTGTAAGTTATAATAATGTTTCATAATATGTACTGTATTTTTGATCAAATAAATGCAGTATTGGCAAGCATAAGAGATGTATTTCAAAACTTTTAAACAGTAGGGTTTTTTCTTCATTTAAAACAATGTGCCCCATACAATAATCTATGCTCCTTTCGCACAGAGAAAAGAAAAGCCACTATCCTGGACAGTCTCGACAACACTAATGTGACCATTATAGGCGTGACCTGTGCAGTGGTGATTATCCTGCTCACCGTGTCAATAATCATTCAAATAAAACAGCCACGGAAGAAGTACATAATCCGCAGAGATGAATTCGACCCCACATTGCTGCACAAGGCCTTTGAGCCCCCACACTACGAGCTGTGCACGTTACGGCAAGCAACCTCATCCGATGGTGATGTTTTACCTGAAGACTTCCCCAAACTGCAGCGCACCTCCTCCAAATGCATCCACGGCCACCACTGTGGCTCCCAGGTGTCCAGCACTCGAGGCAGTCGCAGCGATCTCAGCCTGCGAGATGCTGCAGCTATTCTCTCAGAGATGGAGCCAACCATACAACCTCCATTTCCTCTGCAAGCCACCCCTACTGGCCGCAGGAATATTCTAGTGATGAAGCACAGCTACTCGCACGATGGGGCTGAAGAGTGCGACCTGGATGATGAACTTTATGATGGGCCCACCACCAGCCGTGGGCGAGCTGCAATGGACAGAACTGTGCATCGGTCAGTATCCAATGACTTTTAATGGTTTTCCATGCATTTCAGCCCAGCTTTTGGATAGATTACTTTCTTTATTGTCCGTTTTGTCTCTGTTTTATTTGTAATAGTCATGCACTTGTTTATTATGTTTGTTGACAGACAAAATTTCCATTTTCACCGTTTTGTATCCATAAAGGATTATGGATCAAAAAACATTGGTCCATTAATTGGATATGTGAACCATAAAACTGTATTCCTGCCAGTTTTCTTTTCTTGTTTTGTATATGACTAGTCCTAGGCTGTCTAGTCCATATAATTTGATGACTGTTATGCACTTTTGTTTTAATCCTAATATTGAGAAATTATATTAGGACACTCAATCATTGCATATGTTTGATGTAAATATTTTGATTCATGCTGTTTGGTGTGGGTATTATTTAAAACATTACATAAAAACATGTCATTACTGCTATGGCTATTTTCACCTTTGTGTTTTGTAATGTGGGACAGGCTTCTCTCTATCCTTGAGCTGCGTGGTTTAATTTAATTGTGCTTTACTTGTGACTTAATTTATTTGTATTTTAATTGCTTTTATGCCTATGTGAGAACATTTGTGCTTCTTTTATACTTTGTTACCCGAATGCTTCAGTTTTCATTCTCATATCACATATTACTGATAAAAATACAAACAAGTTGTTATGCCGTCTCATTTTATTACATTTATAAAATGCCATGTAGAACAAAAACGATCTTTTAAAAAAGTGTCTTTCCATTGGATTGCCTCCTCTTTCCTTGCTTATTGGTAATATTTTAGAGTGGTTGTAGGCATGTGAACATTTCCAATATTGCCAACCTCGTCATAATAACATTTATGCATTTAATACTATAAAAGTACTGTTTTCAGCAGCAGTCAGAGATGCGTAATGACCGCACACATTTGGGGTTTGTGAGTACATCCGCATAATAGTGCCTCCCTCTGGTATATTAAAGTAATTGCAGTGGATAAACTTTCACCACTATTAAAAAAAAAAAACATATAAAAGGACAGTTAATTAACAGGTTATAAATGTCGAACCCACATTTCTTTAGGTTTCTTCAAGTCATTGTTATTATCCCATGAACTAATAGTATGTCCGTCTCTAGTAACTTAAGTGAAAGAGAGCGGAACTAATAACGCTTCAGTCTGTCGTCGGACAAAAAAAGGAGATGCACCCGCACCGATCTCATGTCTCTCGTCTCGTGAAATAATGTAAACGTTCTGTGGTTGTTTTATAATATATCTATAGAATATATAGACAATATATTTGTCTGTATGTTGACATGCTTATGCCGTTGATTTATTTAAATGTCTTGCTCATTACTTGCATATCTGATCTATTTTAATTGCAAATCTGTCAGAAGCTGCGTGCTGTCATTGGGCAGGAGGCCAGTTAACGAGTCCCGCTAAATTCATTTAGGATGTCGGAATTTGGCATAGAATCAAATCACTCCACAGAGACTTATAAGCAGGGATCAGCTGGTGACGGTGCTTTTAAAAAACGACTCGGTATTATTGCAACTTGTGTCGTCGGAGGGTCATTGGTCGCTCTGTATGCAGTGACCGGACCGTTTGTTGCACCAGCACTGAGGAAAGTTTGTCTCCCATTTGTACCTGCAACAACGACTCAAATTGAAAACGTTCTTAAGGTTTTGAAAACTAGATCAGGGTCTCTGGCGGATATCGGCAGCGGAGATGGACGGATAGTGAGTTTCCTTATTTTGAATATTCTTTTTTATATCCATTTGTTTTAGTAAATAAAATAAGAATTTATGTGTTTGTTTGTTTATTTATTTATTTATTTGCATTTTTATTATATGACGAATAAGAAAAGGCTTTTATAAATGTTCTCAAGAGATATAAAGTGATCACATCTTCATAATAATATTTTGTGTAAAGCTTCCTCTTTTGCATTAACAACAGTACCATGTAAATGCCATAGTATATGAATGAAAATCATTCAGCACTGTGGTATATCAGCATTGAAATACAACTGTTAGAAGATCACAGTTTGTTAATCTGTTAATAGTACTAATAGTCTTGTTCCTCTGTTTCTGGTTTGGTCTAGGTTATCGCTGCAGCAAAAAGTGGTTTCAAGGCAGTTGGCTTTGAGCTGAACCCATGGCTGGTCTGGTACTCCCGATACAAAGCCTGGATGGAAGGTGTTCATCACAACACATCTTTTTATATTTCTGACCTTTGGAAGGTGAGGACAGGTCAATCATAATCTAAATGTGGACCTTCCATTATATTTGTACCTAAATTATTAAGTATTTACAGATACAATACAATACAATCTGTATGTAATCATGCCACATGTGTTTTTTAGTATTATTTGTCTTTTCTTTCATAGGTCAGTTTTTCAGAGTACTCCAATGTGGTCATCTTTGGCGTTCCTCAAATGGTAAGATCTTCTGACTAATTTTATATATACATACACACATGTACATACAATATTTTTTACAATCTGACAGACATTGTTGTTTTCTCCACAGATGGAGCAGCTTGAAGTCAAGCTTCAAACAGAGCTCCAGAGTTCAGCCAAAGTAGTGGCTTGTCGCTTTCCATTTCCCACTTGGACTCCTGATGATGTCGCTGGAGAGGGAATTGATACTGTTTGGGTTTATAATGCCAAGACATTCAAACCTCCCATCAGAAATGATAAAGACAGTGAAAGACAAGAATTAATGACAAACTAAGTTTCTTTAAAGAAAGAATGTAAAAGAAAGAATTCCCTATGTTTTAGTAAAGAAAATAAGAATGAGTTTGTTTTTTTCTGCATTTGTATTATATGACAAAGAAAAGGATTTGATATATATTTTCTCAGAGATGTTGAGTGATCATATCCTGATAATAATATTTTATATTCTTGTTTAAAGGCCCGTTCACACCAAGAACGATAACTATAAAGATAACTATATTAGCATCCACACCAGCGGATGATATTGTCTGTTTATTCTAAGTGCATGCTCGTCTGCCACTTTAAATTCTTGATTCTGATTGTGTGTCCATGTTTTTTAGCGTTCATTAGCTGGAAAAAATCATTCTGAAAGTTATTCCAATGATATTGTTTCTCTGTGCCTTTATCGTTACAGCTGAGAACGATTTTAGACCTATCGTTATCTTTATAGTTATCTTCATTGGTGTGAACAGGCCTTAAAGCTTTTTCTCTATATTTATTTTTTATTAAGTAAAAGTACATCTTAAGTACTCATAGGGACGAATATATATGTTATGTAAATAATCCAACATTATTCCTGGAATAAATTGATCGACTCAGTATTAATATGCCACATTTGTTATAAAAATTATATCTCATACTGATAAAAGATGCATGCATATTTGATCTTTAAAACCACATTAAAACCTTAACACATCTAATTTTCATTACAAAAAAATCCCATTCACCACAAAGCCTTTCAGAGCCTTACACACCACCAAATCAACTTATTTGCATTGTGGGGACTATATCCTCATTCAAAATACAAAAATTACCTACAAAACGAGAGGCCAATAAAAAGTCAATATCCCTAATAGGAAAAGGTGTGTATGTGTGTTTGCACACGCCCAAGTGTAACAAGATTCGAAGTCCCATGCCTCACCACACCCCCTTAACGTACAGTACATACACACCAAAAAAACTGCCTCCAGTATTTTATGCTGGCATTGCGCCCTTGTTATGGTAAATTGCACTATACCATGATGCATTCGTATTGTATATTTGATTAAAAAAAACAAATAATGATTATATCTTTAAAAAATATGCTAGCATGATGCATATCGAGATGTAGTAGTTCGAATGTAAATTCATTCATCTACAATCCAGCGCAGTCACCACCGGAAAACGCCAAAAAGTGTCGCGTTCTCTGCGCATGCGCATTTTTTTTTGGCGTAAATCGATACCGTAGCAGCACATTCAGAACCAGAGGCCACAAACATGTTCAGCCGAGCAGGAATATAGTCGACCAACACGTAGCTTGATCAGCGCTATCTGTGAGCACTACACGGAAAAAGGGGTCGGGTCTGGGGTTATGCGGCGTTCATGCTTGGATCATGTTGTATTGTAGCGTTGTTGTGAGCTGATATTGTGTTTTGTTCCGCGGTGTGTGTTATGTGTTGACTGTAAAGAGGACAGTGCGTCACCGTACAAGATGGACACTGCCGAAGAAGGTAAGCTGTCTAGACACGGAGGCATTGTGGTTGCTGTCTGTTTCCATGTTGTTGCTTTTTAAATGCGCTTTGACAAAAGTATGTTTATCATTATGTGATGATTTAGCCGGGGCGCGCAATCAAATATGCATCTGTAACGTTAACTGATGTGGCCTTTTTGCAAGCTAACGAGCTAACGTTAAATGTTTTCCTGCCAGCTTGGTCTTTAGTACAGCTGTCATCCTCCAAGCACGGCCAAATAATATGAATTTGAACTTGATTTTGACTTTAAAGGACGTCATGGAAATTGTTAAAAGCACATTAGTCATGTTAAAGTAGTTTTAGCCATTATCATAACGTGTGTAACTCACGTAGAATGGTTTATTTGTGTATTTTGGCCAGGTGTAAACGCACCTGACATATGGTGAAATAAACGAAACGTAGTATATCAGTCAAATCACGTATGCCATATTTAAAACACTGCCTGAAATGAGATCCCATTGATTTTTGAACTTTATGTGTGCTGGAGTGATAGTTGTATCTCATGTTATTCAGTATTATCTAGTTAAGGTTTATGCTGTTGTAATAGGAAGAGGGCAAAGATGACCAGGAAATTGATTGGCAAGACAGCAAGCAATAATCTTGCATGTATCTACCCTTTTATTTTTTAATCAGTATCAATTGAAATTTTGAAAATCATAAAATATTAAATCTAATTTTATAATTCACATTCTTTCATTTTTTGGCAGGTACAGTGTGTTTGTTGCAACACTCATCCAGTTCATTCTCATTTAATTTAATGTGTTCTGCACATATCGGTTTTAAATGTTTATTTTGCCCATCTTTTCTGGCAGCTGATATATGTAGGGTGTGTCGATCTGAGGGAACTCAGGACAAACCCCTCTACCATCCCTGTGTGTGTACTGGAAGTATTAAGTTCA